TTTTTTGAGACAGAGTCTCTATCTGTTGCCCAGGCTGGAGTGCAGTGGCGAGATCTCGACTCATTGCAGCCTCCACCTCCCAGGTTCAAGTGATTCTCGTGGGTGTGGGCGGAAAAAAAAGTAAAAAATGAAAACAAAGTGATTCTCGTGCCTCAGCCTCCGGGGTAACTGGGATTACCACCAGGCCTAGCTCATTTTTGAATTTTTAGTAGAGATGGGGTTTTGCCGTGTTGGCCAGGCTGGTCCTGACCTCCTGGCCACATATGATTCACCTGCCTCCGCCACCCAAAGTGCTGGGATTATAGGCTTGAGTCACCACTTTCAGCCTCCATTTTTTATATTTGTCCGTTTTCTGATGAAATTCTTTTTTTTTTTTTTTTTTGAGACAGAGACAGAGTCTTGCTGTGTCACCAGGCTAGAGTGAAGTGGCACAATCTTGGCTCACTGCAACCTCTACCTCCCCGGTTCAAGCAATTACCCTGCCTCAACCTCTCAAGTAGCTGGGATTACAGGCATGTGCCACCACGCCCAGCTAATTTTTTGTATTTTTAGTAGAGACGGGGTTTCACCATGTTGGCCAGGATGGTCTCAATCTCCTGACCTCATGATCCACCTGCCTCAGCCTCCCAAAGTACTGGGATTACAGGCGTGAGCCACCACGCCCGGCCTGATGAAATTCTTAATTTTTTTTTAATATCCTTGAATATAGATATAAAGTACTTATTTTACAGTATGTGGTCTGACAGTTTCATAATCTGGAGACCCTGTGGGCCTTTTTAAAAGTTGCCTATGCTTTCTCTTGAGCTTTGTTCCTGCTGCCTTATTTCCTTATTGGCTTGGTTGTTTTTAATTTAGCACTGGAGAGTGAGTATAAAAATTGTTAGAAATATATATATGTATTTTTTTGAGACAGAGTTTTGCTCTTGTTGCCCAGGCTGGAGTGCAATGGTGTGATCTCAGCTGACTGCAACTTTCACTTCCCGGGTTCAAGTGATTCTCCTGCCTCAACCTCCCGAGTAGCTGGGATTACAGGCATGCGCCATCACGCCCAGCTAATTTTGTATTTTCAGTACAGATGGGGTTTCTCCATGTTGGTCAGGCTGGTCTCGAACTCCTGACCTCAGGTGATCTGCCTGCTTCAGCCTCCCAAAGTGCTGGGATTACAGGTGTGAGCTACCATGCCTGACTGTAATTGCAGTTTTTGCCATTAAAAGTAATGATGGACCCTGTCTCAGCAAAATAAAAAGCTAAAGGCTGGGTGCGGTGGCTCACGCCTGTAATCCCGGCACTTTGGGAGGCCGAAGCGGGCGAATCACGAGGTCAAGAGATGGAGACCATGGTGAAACCCCGTCTCTACTAAAAAATACAAAAATTAGCTGGGCATGGTGGTGTGCCTGTAGTCCCAGCTACTTGGGAGGCGAAGGCAGGAGAATTTCTTGAACCTAGGAGGTGGAGGTTGCAGTGAGCCAAGATTGTGCCACTGAACTCCAGTCTGGCACCTGGTGACACAGCAAGACTCTTTCTCAAAAAAATAAAAATAAAAAGCTAAAAAAAAAAGAGAAAAAAAGAAGCAGTGCTCCGTCTGTTAGCCTCCTCTTCCAGGCTCGGCTGTCGCCTTGAGGGGAATGCCAGCCTTGCTTCTCTGCGGCCCTGTGCCCCCCCGCGGCCCTGTGCCCCCCCGCGGCCCTGTGCTTCCCTGCCCCCTACACCGTTAAACATACGTTTTCTATTTGCTGGGCTTTTCTAGTTCTCTGTGGGAAGTATGGTCTGAATTACAGTCTCCCATTACTGTGAAGTCTGATTTACATTTAACAGATTATTTTGTTAAAATGTAACGGAGCAAGGCAGACACCGTGGCCTGGGTGGGAGGCCATTGCAATAACCCAGGTGAGAGAGGTTGGTGGCTTGGACCGAGGTGGTGGAGATGGAAGTATAACCTCCATCTGGAGTCACTGGTGGGTTGGATGTGGGGAAGGAAGAAAGTGACCAATCCAGGATGGCTCCAGAGTGTAGACACAGCAAAAAGGGTGAGTGGTTGTGTCAATTTCTAAGTCAGTAAGGACTAGGAGAGGAGCCATTTCGTGGGGAGGGTTGGAAGGAAAATCAAAAGTGCAGCTTAGATCACGGTGTGTTTGAAATGTTTCTTAGACACCCTGAGCAGGTATCTTGTGCACAGCTGGGAATAAGCGTCTGGAGCGTTGGGAGAGGATTGGCTGGAGATAAAGCTGGGAGTTATTGGCACGCAGGTGGCATCTCGTGCCTCGAGCCTGGATGGGCTCACCCAGGGAGAAGATATAGCTGCATAAGGACCAAGGGGGGCCCCGAAAATCAGGGGACCAGGGAGGTGGGAGGAAAACCAAAGCCTGGCAAAGCTGGGGAGGTGGGTGCAGGGACCCAGGTCTGTGCCCTCTTTGGACCATTGTCCCCATTTTTCCCTAGAAGCCAAGACAGTGGACTAGGCTGGAAGCAGGCAGGTTGGGAAGCAAGGGCGCACTCCATTTAGTTAGGAGGTGAAGACTTTGTCTGGGATGGGAATTTGAAGTGCTTTTTCTCCCAGTTTGTCATTTGGCTTTGTTTATGGTGTTTTATTCTTATTAGAAATTAGTGTTTATGCCTGACTTGTTTATTTCTGGCTTTTGGCTTTGTGCTGTCTTTCCCATTCCAAGATGACGCGTGTCCCTGCAGAGCCCATGTGTGCTACATGTTGGCCCAGGGAGGGACACTTGGCTCAGGAGCTGGGGACTGTTTCCGTCCAGACGGACACGCCAGGTCAGGCCACAGATGCCTGCGCTGAAGAAGGGTGCGGCGGTCAGAGGTCCCACGGGGCGGGTGCAGGAACCCAGGTCCACTCCCTCTTTGGGCCTTGGTTTCACCATCCACAACTGGGTTTAACTGCTGGCTTCTTGAGGTCCTGGGGAGGATTCCTGGGTGTGACGGAAAAGGTTGCCCTCAGTGAGCTGTGCAGGGCTGTGCTCCAGGGACAGGGCTCATCACAGTGCAGGCCAGGCTGACCAGCCCCTCAGGGCTGAAGGGCCCACCTCTTTCTGCCCATGGACAGATGGGGAGGGGTAAGTCAGAGCAATTCTTTTCTTTTCTTTTTTTTGAGACAGAGTTTCGCTCTTTCACCCAAGCTGGAGTGCAATGGTGTGATCTTGGCTCACTGCAACCTCCGCCTTACAATTTCAAGAGATTCTCCTGCCTCAGCCTCCCGAGTAGCTGGGATTACAGGCTCCCGCCACCACGCCCAGCTAATTTTTGTAATTTTAGTAGAGACAGGGTTTTTTTTTTTTTTGAGATGGAGTTTCGCTCTTGTTACCCAGGCTGGAGTGCAATGGTGTGATCTCGGCTCACCGCAACCTCCGTCTCCTGGGTTCAGGCAATTCTCCTGCCTCAGCCTCCTGAGTAGCTGGGATTATAGGCACGCGCCACCATGCCCAGCTAATTTTTTGTATTTTTAGTAGAGACAGGGTTTCTCCATGTTGGTCAGGCTGGTCTTGAACTCCTGACCTCAGGTGATCCATCTGTCTCGGCCTCCCAAAGTGCTGGGATTACAGGCTTGAGCCACTGCGCCCGGCCAAATTTATTTTATTTTAATTTGTTTTTGAGACAGAGTCTCACTCTGTTGCCCAGGCTGGAGTGCAGTCAGTGGCGCAATCTCAGCTCACTGCAGCCTCCACCTCCCTGGTTCAAGCAATTCCCCTGCCTCAGCCTCCTGAGTAGCTGGGATTACAGGCCCCACACCCAGCTAATTTTGTATTTTTAGTAGAGACAGGGTTTCTCCATGTTGGTCAGGCTGGTCTTGAACTCCTGACCTCAGGTGATCCACCTGTCTCGGCCTCCCAAAGTGCTGGGATTACAGGTGTGTGCTACCACGCCTGGCCTTTTTTTTTTTTTTTTTTTTTTGAGACAGTCTTGCTCTGTCACCCAGGCTGGAGCACAGTGGCACGATTTCAGCTCACTGCAACCTCCGTCTGCTGGGTTCAAGCAATTCTCCTGCCTTAGCCTCCCAAGTAGCTGGGATTACAGGTGCTCGCCATCACATTCAGCTAATTTTTTGTATTTTTAGTGGAGATGGGGTTTCACCATGTTGGCCAGGCTGGTCTTGAACTCCTGACCTCAAATGATCCACCTGCCACGGCTTCCCAAAGTGCTGAGATTACAGGGGTGAGCCAATGAGCCCAGCCTAGGCCAGAGCATTTCCATAGGCTCAGGGCCCCAGGAGAAGTTGTGGGGCCCATCAGATCAACCTCATGCCCTGGTGGAAGGGAAACATCCTGGGGTCACCTGCCAAAGGCCAGCCTTGAGGTAGTCACGGCCAGAGTGTCCCCAGTGAGATGGGGAGTGGAGTTCCAGGGTGGGCTCCTGGGGCCACTGTGAGTGACTGAGAGGTGGCCTAGGCCTGGTTCTGCCTGTGGCACATGAGCTGCTGGGAGCCGTGGCAACAGAAGCACTTTGCAAACTGAGAAGCCCCTTATTTATGGCAAAGGTCAGTGTAAATAGCATCACATTTTGCAACTGTAGAGTGTTGCGGACCTGTGAGCAGCTGGATTTGATGGGGAAGCCTGGTTGTGTTCTCTGACCTAACCTGGGGTTTGGTGGCAGTAGATGGGCCACCTCCGTCACCATTCGCCAATGAGTGCCAGCCGAGCAAGCCTGGTGGGGAGACGGGGAGGGGAGCCCCACCGCTGACTCTGTACCATGTCCCCTAGAGCCATCCTCCAGCAGCAGGGCTCCCCTGTGGATGCCACCATCGCGGCTCTGGTCTGCACCAGCGTCGTCAACCCTCAGAGCATGGGCCTGGGCGGAGGGGTCATCTTCACCATCTACAATGTGACGACAGGTGGGCCCACACATGACCTGCCATGGGGCAAACGGGCTTGTGCACACCAGTGCGTAACCCCTTCTCCAGCCAGTCCCATTTGCTCAAGCCCGTCTCTGGGTGGTCTTGGGCCCCCTGCTCTGCCCCCTTCAGCTTTTGTGTCAACTCCTGTCCCTATGTTAGCCCCGAGTCCATTTCATGATGCAGAGATGGAAACTGAGGCCTAGAGCAGGCCTGGGGCTGTCTGCGGGGTCCATGAGCACTCACCTGCCCTGCCCTACTCCAGGGAAGGTGGAGGTCATCAACGCGCGGGAGACGGTGCCAGCCAGCCACGCCCTGAGCCTGCTGGACAAGTGCGCACAGGCTCTGCCACTGGGAACAGGTGAGGCCCCGTGGGGGGCCCCCCACTCCCACCCCCCAGGCCCCTGGGACTGACTAACACACACCCCAAAGGAGCAGTGCCTCATGGACCGCAGGGAATGGAAAGGCCCCACTTGGGAAGGGGCTCTCTGAGGTGATCCAGGGAGAAGGACCAGGCTGGACAAAAGCCTGGAGGCTTCAGTGGAGATGAGTTGGTGGGGCAGGGTGGGGCACCTGTGGCCAGCTTGTGCAGGGCCCCGTGGGCCTGGCTGTGGACTTTGTGGGGAGGCACAGGTGGTTTGAGCAGGGAGGGGCGTGGTTAGGTGTGGGCTCCTGAAAGCTGACTCTGGCTGCTGTAGCTGGGGGGACACATGCAGGGGTGATGGAAAACCCCTGAGAAGGCCTGGAAGCCACAGGGTGGGGGTCTGGGATGTGCCGTGCAGGGGCTCAGTGGATCGGGGTGCCTGGGGAGCTCCGTGGCTATGCTGAGGCCCACCGTCGCCATGGCCGCCTGCCCTGGGCGCAGCTGTTCCGGCCCACCATCGCGCTGCTCCGAGGAGGGCATGTGGTGGCCCCTGTCCTCAGCCAGTTCCTGCACAACAGCTTCCTGCGGCCTTTCCTGCAGGCGTCAACCTTGCGGTGAGCCCCACAGGGTGGCCCTGGGCTCCTGGATTCAAGGCCATATCCTGTCTGGGCCCAGTCCACACCCCAGCTCTGCCTCAGTCCCTCCTGCACTGGAGGGTGGACGCTCTGGGGGTGCAGGGGACCTTAAGGCCAGGACAGAGAAGACTTTTCATAGCCCTTCTGGCTCCACGTGGCAGATAACTCAGGAAGTCAGGCTGGGGGGAGTTCCTTGCCCAAGTGACAGGACTCCAAGGTGTGGATTTGGGCTCTACCACCCGCCCTGGGGCCCCGGCCTCCTTCTCCCTCTCTAGGGCATGGCAGGAGGGCTTCAACTGCTGCTCTCACCCGCCTGACCCAGCCCACTGACAGGCCCCCCAGGAGTGAGGGGATGACAGGCCCTAGGTGGGAAATGTGCCCTCCCTGGACCAGGGCCATGAGCCGGGTGAGTGGTGTCAGCCCCCCCACCTCTTAGAGAATCTGTCCCCCAGTGTCCGCCCCAGTACCTCAGGACCCTGGGCCAGGGCGCCCTGCACTATAGGGTTCTGAGGACTCCACCCGTGAGAGCCCCGGCAGGAGTGAGGCTGCCTCTGGGACCTGGCCCCGCCCTGAGGCTGCCCCCCACCCCCCAGCCAGCTCTTCTTCAACGGAACAGAACCCCTGAGGCCTCAGGACCCACTCCCATGGCCTGCACTGGCCACCACCCTGGAGACCGTGGCCACAGAGGGTGCGGATGTCTTCTACACGGGGAGGCTGGGCCGGATGCTGGTGGAGGACATTGCCAAGGAAGGTCAGCCTCCCTGAGGTCCCATACCCTGTCCCTGCTGGAGAAAGAGTCAAGGTCTGGGTGCTGGGGGTTGAGGGCAGACTCCTCCCCAGGCCCTGAGGGACTGCTGGTGGTGCCTGGGGCTCCGAGAGGCCATGCACCTCACACGGCCGGCCTAAGGAGTCCTGTGGTCCAGGACCTTGGACAGCAGAGCCTGTGGGTTATGGCCAGCCGAGGGGAGCTACCGATGGTCACGGCGGGCTTGGGCAGCTGAGCTGACCACCCTCACAGGCTCACAAAGCCCAGCTCCCTCTCCCATCTTCCTGTCCTCCTCCCTGCCTCTGGTCTCTGTCCACCCCTCCACATCTGGCTCCAAGGGTCCTGTCCTGAGGCTGCTGCCTACAGACCTATCATCACCCTGTGTCCACGAGGCTAGAGGATGAGTGGAATCCCATTGTGTGACCTGTCACCTGTGGTTATTCCTCCCTGCCTCAGTTTTCCCATCTGTTCATGGAGTCCTCTCTCTCACCCCAGGGAGCCAGCTGACGCTGCAGGACCTGGCCAATTTCCAGCCCGAGGTGGTAGATGCCCTGGAGATGCCCCTGGGGGACTACACCCTGTACTCACCGCCGTCGCCTGCAGGGGGTGCCATTCTCAGCCTCATTCTCAACGTGCTGAGAGGTAAAGCCGCTGCCCAGAGCCCTGGCCCCCTGGGAACCTGGACTCCAAGCCCAGCCACGGCCTAGTTCAGCCTCCTCATCCATAAACCGGGTTCACAGACCCACAATGCAAAGACAGGGCTGTGGAAACCAGGATGGTGGGTTTAGAGCTGGCCTCCGGCTCGGCCCATACATGAGGCGACATCATTCGTCCAGAGCCTTCCTCCCACTAGGTGACCAGTCCCAGACACAGAAGCAGGTGGGCTGTGCAGGTGGTGAGCTGCCCACCAGGGGCGTGCACCTGGGGAGTGAAGCTCAGCGCAGCCCAAGGCAGCCTGTAGCGGGTTCCGGCAGTGCTGAGGCCTGGGGCTGCCTGCGCTGGCTTCATAGTGTCCTGTATCTGCATTACAAATCACCACAAGCTTGGTGGCTTCAAATAACAGAAGCGTGTCCTCTCAGAGTTCTGGAAGCCAGAAGCTTGGTATCTAGGTGTCCACAGCGCTGCCTTTCCCTGGGCCCCAGGGGAGAATCTCTTGTTTGCCTTGTTGACCTAAATAAAAAACAGAACAAGGCTCTCAAAGAAAATGATGTTTATTTCAGAGTTGGCCTCACAGTGGGAATACCCATGCCAGGGTTAACCATGTACGGGGCGATTTCTGAGCTCTTGGTGCCCCGTCACCTGAGCAGTGTATGCTGTACCTAGTGTGAGGTCTTTTATCCCTCACCCCTCCCAGCCTTCCCCTTGAGTCCCCGGAGTTCATTATATCATCATTATATAATTATCTCTCTCTCTCTCTTTTTTTTTTTTTTGAGATGGAGTCTTACTCTGTCACCCAGGCTGGAGTGCCCAGCTAACTTTTGTATTTTTCTTTTTTTAGTAGAGACAGGGTTTCACCACGTTGGCCAGGCTGGTCTCAAACTCCTGACCTCAGGGGATCCACCCGCCTCGGCCTCCCAAAGTGCTGGGATTACAGGCGTGAGCCACCGCGCCTGGCCCATCGTATCATTCTTATGCCTCTGCATCCTCGGTCTATAACTGTTTCAAAATGATTATCTTTGGCTACTAGGATCAGTGATAAAGGTGGCACCGGTCTGAGGCTGGACAGACCATTGCTGGGCAGATGTCCTTGCAGAAGTATTTTTTGTGTAAGGCTGTGATGGTCTTTGTGTGAGGTTGTGAGGTGGTTTTTTTTTTTGACAGGGTCTTGCTCTGTCACCTGGGCCGGAGTGCAGTGGCACTGTCAAGGCTCACTGCAGCCTCAACCTCCTGGAATCAAGCAATCCTTCCACCTCAGTCCTCTCATCTCAACCTCCCAAAGTGCTGGGATTACAGGCATGAGCCACAGCACCTGGCGGAGAACAGGTCACTTGTGCACGAGATCCTCCCTTCATGGCCTTTCCTTGGCTCTATTTTTCAGTGTATTTTTTTTTTTTTTTTTTTTTTTTCTTAAATTGGAGTCTCACTCTGCTGCCCAGGCTGGAGTGCAAGAGTATGATCTTGGCTCACTGCAACCTCTGCCTCCCAGGTTCAAGCTGTTCTCCTGTCTCGGCCTCCCCGGTAGCTGGGATTATAGGCACCTGCCATCATGCCCGGCTAATTTTTGTATTTTTGTAGAGTTGGGGTTTCACCATGTTGGAGAGACTGGTCTTGAACTCCTGATCTCAGGTGATCAGCCCTCCCCACCCTCCCAAAGTGCTGGGATTACAGGCATGAGCCACCCCACCGGGCCCCAGGTCCATTTTGACCATTTTCACAGCCTCTTCCTGCTTCTGGTGGCTGCCAGCATTCCTTGGCTTGTGGCTGCCTCACTCCAGTTTCTGGCTCTGTGGTCATACTGGTTTCTCCTCTGCTCTGTGTGTCCTCTCCTCTGTGTGTCTGTCTTACAAGGACACTATGATCACATTCAGGGCACATCTAGATAATCCAAGATAATCTCCTCCTTGGGCCAGGTCTGGTGGCTCACGGCCGTAATCCCAGCACTTTGGGAGGCTAAGGCGGGTGAGTCACTTGAGGTCAGGAGTTGAAGACCAGCCCGGCCAACACAGTGAAACCGCATCTGTACTAAAAATACAAAAATTAGCCAGGCGTGGTGGCACTCACCTGTAGTCCCAGCTACTTGGGAGGCCAAGGCAGGAAAATCGCTTGAACCCGGGAGGCGGAGATTGCAGTGAGCCAAGATCATGCCACGCACTCCAGCCTGGTGACAGAGCAAGATTCCCTCTCAAAAAAACACAAAAAAGCCCAGGCCTGGTGGCTCACACCTTAATCTCAGTACTTTGGGAGGCCAAAGCAGGCAGATCACTTGAGGCCAGGAGTTCAAGACCAGCCTGAACAACATGGCAAAACCCCATCTCTACTAAAAATACAAAAAAAAAACCCAGCTGGGTGTGGTGGCGAACGCCTATAGTCTTAGCTACTCAGGAGGCTGAGGCACAAGAGTCACTTGAACCTTGGAGACAGAGGTTGTAGTGAGCTGAGATTGTGCCATCACCCTCCAGCCTGGGCAACACAGCAAGACTCTGTCTCAAAAAAAAAAATCTTTACCATACTTTGCCACTTAAGGTAATAGTCACTCTTGCGCTGTATAAAGTAATATTCACGGGTTCTGGGAATTAGGATGTGAGTGGATCTTTCGGGGCGGGGGTCAACATTTAACATATTACATAGGGTGACCCCTACCTGTGCCCCAACCCCTCCCTAGGGTTCAACTTCTCAGCAGAGTCTGTGGCCAGGCCTGAAGGGAGGGTGAACATGTACCACCACCTCGTGGAGACGCTCAAGTTTGCCAGGGGGCAGAGGTGGAGGCTGGGGGACCCTCGAAGCCACCCGAAGCTCCAGGTGAAGTTGCTGAGGTTGCTGGGGCTGGCGGGCTGCCCTCCTCTCTGGTTCAGGACTTGGCATGAATGGAGGGTCAGGCCTGGCATGGGGAGGTTGGAGGGATATGTATGTGCAGGGTCAGGTGCAGGAGCGGCACCATATCTCAAAGGACCTGGAGGGTGGGCAGAGTCTAGACCTAGCCTGGGCTTGAGGGAGGCCTGGCCACAAGGTCAAGGACAGACTCGAGACGGCCCCCATGGGGCTGAGCTCGTCCTGCCCTTGGTTCTGCGGGCCCTGCCTGGCCCCTCACTGACCCTGCCACCTGCCCACCCACCCCAGAACGCCTCCCGGGACCTGCTGGGGGAGGCCCTGGCCCAGCTCATCCGCCAGCAGATCGATGGCCGGGGGGACCACCAGCTCAGCCACTACAGCCTGGCCGGGGCCTGGGGCCATGGGACAGGCACAGCCCATGTGTCTGTGCTGGGGGAGGATGGCAGCGCGGTAGCTGCCACCAGCACCATCAACACACCGTGCGTGGGGCTTGGGGGAAGGCGGGCGGCCACTCGTCCCCTCCTAGACCTGCACCCCCGCAGCCCCATGTCCCCTCACTTGTCCCCGTGGGGCAGCACCTTGCTTTTGCCCTCTTTCTCCTCCTCTATTTCAAAAGGGGTCCCCACCCCGACATCTCTGGCTGGAAAGGCTGCTGCTGGGGTGGCCCTGAGCCAAGATTTACCTGGGAACGGGTGGCCTCGCTCAGAAGGGTACCCTGATATGGGGCACAGGTGGATCTTTGGGGGCCCCTCCTGCGTGGTGCCAGGGAGTGAATAGCGGCTCCAGCATGTTTCAGGGCAGCTGGAAAAGGAGGGGGTCCTGCAAGGTGGGTGGGGCAGGCAGTGTCTGCTGGGAGCCCCAGCCCCAGCCCAGGCTCTGCCTCCACGGCTGCAGCTTTGGAGCGATGGTCTACTCACCACGGACAGGCATCATCCTCAACAATGAGCTCCTGGACCTATGCGAGAGATGCCCCCAGGGCTCCGGCACCACCCTCTCACCTGGTGAGAACAAGGCTTCCCACCTGGGCTCCACAAGGGCCCCCCACCAGGGGAGAGGAGGGGGGCTGGGCTGGGGCTGCATGCTAACCCCTGGATAGGTCACCACACTGGCCAAGCCACTATTTGCTCAAGCAGAGAATGGAGACAGGATAGGTGGAGCTCCTGGAAGGTGCCAGCCCCCAGTTCCAGGCGAGCGTCCCCCGTCCTCCATGGTGCCCTCCATCTTGATCAACAAAGCCCAGGGGTCGAAGCTAGTGATTGGTGGGTCTGGCGGGGAGCTCATCATCTCTGCCATGGCCCAGGTGAGTCTGGGGCTCCTGGCTCGAGCTCTCCTTTCTGGGCAGTATACTGTCTGATTCTCCCTGGGGTGGGGGTGTAAGGGCTGATAAAGGGTAGCGGGTACCCCCTTTCTCCCTGCATCCCTCATCTCTCCCCCAGGCCATCGTGAACAAGCTGTGGCTTGGCTTTGACCTGAGAGCGGCCATCACAGCCCCCATCCTGCATGTCAACAGCAAGGGCTGTGTGGAGTACGAGTCCAACTTCAGCCAGGTGAGGCTGAGGTCCGAGCTGGATGCCTAGGGCGAGCCCACGCCCCAGGTCCATGCTGCTCAAAGCCACCTGGGAGGAAGTCAGTCACTGAGATTCTTAGGCCAGGTACACTTCAGCTTTGGGGGCCATAAGAGTCAGGGACCTTGATGGGCGAGGCTGTCAGTTCCGTGGCCCCCAAGACAGAGAGGAGGGTGTTGTCTACGCTGCTCCCAGGCTAAGGATCTCAGCGCCTTGGTCTCTGGTCTGTGGTTTATGCCATTTTTCAGAAGTGAGTTTTCCTGGCTGTGGCCTCTCAGACTCTCCCTCATGGTGACATTTTCCTTGTGTGGTTTGTAACTTAAATTTGCAACTTTATTTGTAACAGAGGTTGTTTTTCCTGTGGGAGTCTATAAAGTGATTTTGTTCTGGGGCACTAGGGCATTGGTGGTAATTTTTACTCTCTCTCTCTATATATATTACTATATATTTGAAACAGCATCTCGCTCTGTTGCCCAGGCTGGAGTGCAGTGTTGCGATCACAGCTCACTATAGCCTTGACCTCCTGGGCTCAAGTGATCCTTCCTCCTCAGCCTCCCAAGGAGCTAGGACTATAGGTGTGTGCCACCATGGCTGGCTAATATTTGTATTTTTAGTAAAGACGAGGTTTCCCCATGTTGTCCAGGCTGGTCTCGAACTCCCAACCTCAAGTGATCTGCCTGCCTTGGCCTCCCAAAAGTACTGGACTTACAGGCATGAGCCACTCTGCCCGGCCCTCCCTTGACTCTTACTGAAGGAACTTTGTCCTAGTGAATATCAATTCTCAGGACCTTTCACTCCAAGGACCTGAAATGCTGAGAATTTGGGAGATGGAACTGATGGAATCCACAAACCTAAGGTTCTCAGCTCCCTTGGGGAGTTGGAATGTCAGCTCCTCAGGTCTAGGTCTTTCCATGGAGTACATCCTAAACTCTGGATTGGAGACTTTGGGTCCCTAAGGACCTTCACAGCTAAGGCCCAGGGACTAGCGTGAAGAGAGTCTTTGATCCTGGGGTGTTGGAGTCTGGCCAGTGGACTCTGAGAAATGCAGTCTCTGAGCACTGAAAGTCCGGCTTTGGCTTCAGCAGTGAGGATCTTGGCCTTCAAGTCTAAGGACAGTGGGCAATTAGTTATGTCAGGCACGGGGAACTTACAGCCAAACGTGCAGGGCTCCAAAAACATCACCTGCCCTGTCAGCAGCTCAGGCCATGTGGCATCACCTGACGACCTCAGATCAGAGGCCCTGAGGAGGGCGGAGCTCTAGGGCCTGCATACCTAGATGTCTCCAGAATCTCAGGCTCTGCTGGGTAAGGTTCTGGGGCCATGAGTCTTTTTGTTTGTTTGTTTGTTGTTGTTGTCGAAACAGTTTCACTCTGTCACCCAGGCTGGAATACAGTGGCGCCATCTCGGCTCATTGTAACCTCCGCCTCCCGGGTTCAAGCAATTCTCCTGCCTCAGCCTCCCCACTAGCTGGGATTACATGCCCACACCACCATGCCTGGCTAATTTTTGTGTTATTAGTAGAGATGGGGTTTTGCCATGTTGGCCAGGCTGGTCTGGAACTCCTGACCTCAAGTGACCCGCCTGCCTTGGCCTCCCAAAGTGCTGGGATCACAGGCATGTGTGACTGCACCCAGCTAAGTTCTTGGGTCATTAGTCTTAAATGGCATCTGGAAACATGGGGCCCTAGTAGCTCAGGTCCCTGTCCTCTAGGACTTTTGCCCCTTCACAGAGTGGTAGTGTGTGAGGACTGTCACCCCGGGGCAAGGCACTTGGCATCTTTGAAACAAGCACAGGTGGCCGGACGCAGTGGCTCACACCTGTAATCCCAGCACTTTGGGAGGCTGAGGTGGGTGGATCATGAGATCAGGAGTTCAAGACTAGCCTGGCCAAGACAGTGAAGCCCCGTCTCTACTAAAAATACAAAAATTAGCCGGGTGTGGTGGCGGGCACCTGTAGTCCCAGTTACTTGGGAGACGGGGGCACAGAATTGCTTGAACCCAGGAGGTGGAGGTTGCAGTGAGCCAAGATCATGCCACTGCACTCCAGCCTGGGCAACAGAGCAAGACTTCGTCTCAAATAAATAAATAAATAAATAAGAAATGAGCACAAGGCTAGGGGCTACTTTGGTCTTTGACTTCCTCAAAGTCCACAAATTCAGGGTCTTGGGCCTGAGCCTGTAGGCCCCCATGCCCCGAGTGTCTCACACTGTGGGGCTGTGGGTGCTTTTAGCTTAGGGATCTAATTCCCTTGGATTCATGGGTATTCAGGTCCTTATTCTAGCTGAATTCTCCATCAGTAGGGCCCTAAACCTGTGGGTTCCTGGATGTCTAAGGTCCTGACATAGTGTGTTGAGATCATAGGTCTTTTTTTGCGCTTTGAGACGGAGTCTCACTCTGTCACCAGTCTGGAGTGCAGTGGCGCAGTCTTGGCTCACTGCAACCTCCGCCTCCAGGGTTCAGTCGATTCTCCTGCCTCAGTCTCCCGAATAGCTGGGATTACAGGCATCCGCCTATAATCCCAGCTATTCCCACCGCGCCAGGCAGGAGATCATAGGTCTTTTCAAAAAATTTTTTGCCACAACGTCTTGTAACTGCCCAGTGGGTTCACCTTGCCAGCTGCCTGGACAGAGCCAATTCATCAAGACAGGGGAATTGCAATAGAGAAAGCGTAATTCAGGCAGAGCCTGCTGGGCGGGAGACCGGAGTTTTATTATTACTCAGTCTACCCAAGCATTCGGGGAGCAGAGTTTTTTTTGTTTGTTTTATTTTTGAGACAGAGTCTCGCTCTGTTGCCCAGGCTGGAGTGCAGTGGCGTGATCTGCAACCTCTGCCTTCTGAGTTCAAGCAATTCTCATGTCTCAGCCTGAGTAGCTGGGGTTATAGGTGCACACCACCACACCCGGCTAATTTTTGTATTTTTAGTAGAGACAGGGTTTCTCCAAGTTAGCCAGGCCAGTCTTGAACTCCTGACCTCAGGTGATCTGCCTGCCTCAGCCTCCCAAAGCGCTGGGATAATAGGCGTGACCACCACGCCTGGCTAGAGAGCAGTGTTTTTAAGGACAGCTTGGTGGGTTGGGGGAAGCCGGTGAGCCAGGAGTGCTGATTGGTCAGGGGTGAAATCATATGGAGTTGGCTGGGTGCAGTGGCTCACACCTGTAATCCCAGCACTTTTGGGGGTTGAGGTGGGCGGGTCACCTGAGGTCAGAAGACCATCCTGGCCAATATGGCGAAAACCTGTCTCCACTAAAAATACAAAAATTAGCTGGGCGTAGTGGCAGGTGTCTGTAATTCCAGCTAGTCAGGAGGCTGAGGCAGGAGAATCGCTTGAACCTGGGAGGCAGAAGTTGCAGTGAGCTGAGATCACGCCACTGCACTCCAGCATGGGCGACAGAGTGAGACTCCACCTCAAAAACAAAAACCCCCCAAAAACCCTGGAAATCATAAAATCATAGGGAGTCGAAGCTGTCTTCTTGCGCTGAGTCAGCTCCTGGGTGGGGGCCCCAAGATCAGATGAGTCAGTTAATCAATCTGGGTGGGGCCAGCTGATCCATCGAGTGCAGGGTCTGCGAAATATCTCAAGCACTAATCTTAGGAGCAGTTTAGGGAGGGTGAGAATCTTGTAACCTTCAGTTGCATGACTCCTAAACCGTAATTTCTAATCTTATGGCTAATGTTAGTCCTACGAAGGCAATCTGGTCCCCAGGCAAGAAGGACGTCTGCTTTGGGAAAGGGATGTTACTGTCTTTGTTTAAACTATAAACTAAGTTTCTCCCAAAGTTAGTTCAGCCTACGCCCAGGAATGAACAAGAATAGCTTGGAGGTTAGAAGCAAGATGGAGTTGGTTAAGTTAGATCTCTTTCACTATCTCAGTCATAATTTTGCAAAAGTGGTTTCAGTCTTGCTCTGTTGCCCAGGCTGGAGTTCTGTGTCACAATCAAGGCTCACTGCAGCCTCAAACTCCTAGACTTAAGGGATCCTCCTGCCTCAGCCTCCTGAGTAGCTGGGACTACAGGCATAGCACCACCACACCTGACTAATTTTTATTTTCTTAAAAAAAAATTTTGTTTTTAATAGAGACGTGATCTCGCTATGTTGCCCAGGCTGGTCTCGAACTCCTGAGCTCAAAAGATCCTCCTGCCTCGGCCTCCCAAAGTTCTGGGATTACAGGTGTGAGCCACCACACCTAGCCCAATTTTTGATTTTCTTGTAGAGACTGTCTTGCTATGTTGCCCAGGCTGGTCTCAAACTCCTGGCCTCAAGTGATCCTCCCTCCTCAGCCTCCCAAAGTGTTGGGATTACAGGTGTGAGCCACTGCGTCTGGCCTCAGTGTCTAAGTCTTGAGAAGCCACATCCTCCATTGAAAGCCCCCTGAAGTCAGATTTGCACTTCAAGGCCCTGGTGTTGTTGGATCCAGGACAGGCATGAACTTGCATCTGGAGGTCTTCGGGCCCGGGTGGTGTCCTCCATGCCTGATCCCTGGAGGCTGAGCCTCTCCTCTGCCAGCCTTTGGCTCTCACCCACGCTCCCATCTGCGTCCTCAGGCCCTCTTCCTCTCAGTCTCGGCTTTGATGGTTTTTGTCATTTCTTGCAGACGCCTCTCCCTTCTGGAGATGGGCTGAGCTGCCCTCTCCCGTGAACCTGCTTTCTCTCCTCTCCAGGAGGTGCAGAGGGGACTCCAAGACCGTGGCCAGAACCAGACCCAGAGGCACTTCTTCTTGAACGTGGTCCAGGCCGTGTCCCAGGAGGGGGCCTGTGTGTACGCCGTCTCGGACCTGAGGAAGGGTGGAGAGGCTGCAGGCTACTAAGACTGCTCTGCCCAGAGCCGAGGCCCCGTCCCCTCATGGGTCCTGCATCCAGGCCGGACGTGGCTGGGAGACCCAGTACTCCGGCAGGATCTGGACCCCTGGCAGGGGAGTCCAGCTGAGCGTGGAAGAGGTGGCGGAGACCAGCTGGGCAGATGGGAGGCTGAGCCTCCTCCCTGACCTCCTTTCCCAGAGCTCCTGGTGGCCCTGAACTGGCCCCTCTATCCCTTCGAGGGCCTCCTGCTTAGGCCACTCTCCCACTCTCTCAACCTGTATATCCTCCAGTCCAAGATTAAAGAAGAGGCGGACCGTGGCCTGATTCCATGGTTCTGAGTGGGAGAGGGGACCCTTGGACAGTGCACAGAGCAGTGCACGCACGAGGCTCCTATGGTTCTCCACCCTGCACCTGCATGGAGGCGGGGAAACGGGCTGGCAGACCCGCCGAACCTCAGCCAGGCCATCCCTGGACAGAGGCAAGCACCACCCCTGCCCCCCCACAGCCCACCACTCTGCTCAGCCCATCTCGGTAGTGTGGCTGGCCCGGGTCCTGCGTGCTGGTTAACTGAAAAATCACACAATTTATAAATTTGGAAAGGAGACTTTTTTTCTTTCTTTCTTTCTTTTTTTTTTTTTTGAGACAGAGTCTTGCTCTGTCATTCAGGCAGTGGTTCAATCATGGCTCACTGCACACTCAACCTCCTGGGCTCAAGCCATCCTCCTGCCTCAGCCTCCAAGCAGCTGGGACTACACAAGTGCAACACCATACCTGGCCAATTTTTAAAATTTTTTGCAGAGACAGAGTCTTGCTGTGTTGCTCAGGCTGATCTTGAATTCCTGGTCTCAAGCTGTCCTCCCTCCTCAGCCTCCCAAAGTGCTGGGATTACAGGTGTGAGCCACCATGCCGGACAAGACTTTGTTTCTTTTTTTTTCCTTCAACTTTTATTTTAAGTTCGGGAGTCCATATGCAGGATGTGCAGGCTTGTTACGTAGATAAACATGTGTCTTGGTGGTTTGCTGCACAGATCAACCCATCACCTAGGTATTAAGCCTGGCGTTCATTAGCTATTCTTCCT